TCAAAGGAACCGAAATTAAACAACATAAAATAAATTAGAATTCACTGCGGCAAAACGGTAGAGCGACCGGCATACATTTTGAAATGCCCCTGGCAACACAGAGGAGTTCACTGAATTTCTCTTGATATCGTAAAATGCAGATGCTACAGAGAGTTTCTTTCAAATCTCCCTTTCACAATCCTTGCTAATAATAAAAATACAGAAAATCGTAAAAGATCTCTCTTTAACAGTGATTCTATTTTGTGTGTTTCGAACAATATTGAAGAATTCAACACGGAATCTCTCCTGATAACAAACCGAACAGTACAATTATCTTTTTAGCTTCAAATTCGATGATCGTTGTATTGTAATTTCGATATCATTAGGATATCTATTATTGATTGTTCATTGGTTTCTTTAGTACCGAAGACTGATCTTGTTCACAACGATACTGTAGTGTTGCCTGGAATTCTCCCTTCAATCTTTTATTCCGAAGATAGCTAGTCACGGCACCAATGTTAGAGATGCTCTCTCACTTCTAATGTGTGCGTGCTATCAAAGAATAATCCAATAATTTCTGATGTTTGACCTCCTTGAAGTATATTTAAAAATGAATCAAAAAAAGAAAATATGTTCATATGGATGACCTAAACATTTTTAACGAAACAATGAATAAGGAAAGGGAACATATCAACGTGACTGACCGTTAATAAGTATACAGGAAACTATTAATAGTTTTATAACGCGTACAACACCTAGGTCGTTACTTCTGCAAGTTCAAAGTGAGTGCATTTATTGAGAGGTGAGGTGCACTTAACAATTAGAATATCTTTTATCGTTATGCTGACATAATATATTGATTTATTGTCATATATGATACATAGGTAATACTTCTCAATAAAAAGCCGTATAAAGCTGATGTTTTTATGATCTCTTTGAAAATAACATTTAGTTGATTGAAGAAAAGACTATCTCACAAATCTATCAATATTTGTTTTTTACATATATAATAAAGAACTTCTCAACTAAAAAACAATAAAACATTCTTTATACGGCAATAGGATATGTAAGGTATGTATTATCAGCAACATATTGAAAAGCAGATCGTGACTCAAAGACTTTCAGCAGCATTAAAACGATTTTTTAATCATGGATAGATAAACCTGAATGTCCTCTTCGAAATAGAAGTCAGATGAATCTTTTGTTGTGCCAGCCTGTCATTGGCTTTTTTCGAGGTCCAGAGAGTAATATCAACCCGCCTCTCAGAATACAAGGGCGTGGTCTTCTACTGTGTCTCGGTTTATCAAACATTTTAGGATGGCCTTCTATTAGAGGTGGCTTTCCAATTCGACCTTCCAACCAAAATTTTCTAAAAGTTTTCATGGCTCGTAAAAAGCTTAGATAATAGTGATTTTCTTTGTTTCACAACAGTTAACTAATTGGTGCTCTAGAGTACTCAACAAATGAGAACCGGGTTTTAGACTTTCTTTACATCTCCGAAGATTTGCAGCTTGTTTCTTCTCTGAGCTTCTGGCACCTCCTGTTCATCAACATCAGTTATGAGGGTCAGTATAGTCAATTTGAGCTTACTACAACTGTACGTGATGACTGAATCGATTACACTTCTCTATGTTCGACGTCCGGGGTTATTCGATAGAACGGATAATTAGGGAGAAGAGCATACTCTATTTCTCTTACAACTCCCTGCTGCAAAAATGCGAAATTTCAAGACCGAACACATGCATAATTTCACGGTTTGTAGAAGTCAAATGCTGAAAAAGTTTCGAAAAAAGTGGCATGGTCATATGAAAAGCCTTGGCCTTCTAATATGGATTTTACAGAATTGTCTCAGAGGTGGCCTTCTATTCTGGGGGACGGGGGGTACTGATGATCTAAAAACTATGTGGGGGTGAAGCTAATGAAAAAAGGATTTTTATCTGTTTTTACAAACGTAAAAGAGGCCATACTTCATTCCGGTGTACTTCATATTACTTGAGAACTTGAGGCCTTATGTTTACCATATAAAACTGACTTTCAAGACTCCAACTACTTTTATATGGTAAACATGATTTTTTATTGATGTACAATTCAGCAACTGCCAAAACAATCACAGATCAACAGCTCATTTGAATCGTATCTTGAGAGGAGACGCCGATCTCTCCATGAAAAAAACTCAATGTGGTACTATTGAAAGTTTGTACGGAATAGTCTGGTTTTTCAACAATCTCGCTTGCAGCAATGCTTTGAAATATTTTCTGCTCACATGATGATGTCTCCCGATCTCCTGTTTCAAATGACAAAAAACTGCCGATCTCTAGCACTTTTCATTCAAAAGTAATTCAAAAAACAGGCTTCCTTCTTCTGTTCTGAAATGTATTTCTGTTGTTAGCAATAGCTATGGACTTTGACTTTTCTAATAATATGAGGAGAGAGCACAGAAAGTTGGATGCATTCTCCTTCAAAACCAAATACTTTCTCTTAGTTTTCTAGAGAAAAAGCGTCACTGAAAATCCTTTCTGATTAAGGCCAAAGTCAGTTTCTTTGAAACAAGTATAAACCGACGACGACTCAAGTGGAAATAACTTTATTTTATATCAACTGAAAGCACTAAAAAAGCTTGTTTAGATGCTGGAAGAGCATAGTTTTGTAAGGACATAGTTTCTCTTTAAAGACCTACTTTCGAAGCTTGCGAACTGACTCTCAGAAACTACATGTCAAATTTTCGGCATGTTATTGTTCTACATACTCAAAACCCGTAAGATCGTACTTTGTGAACTATAGATGACCACTTACCACGTTGTTGAGCAACTAAAAGACAGACAGGTGAGTATAAGTCACCTGTAGTGTTTAGGGATGCACTAATTGTTATTTTTTAATTCGAATTAATAGGAATTGATTTCTAGAATTAGCTCATAAAGTTTTGCTAAAGTTAAGCTGTTGTTTAAAGCTGCTGTTCAATACCGTCCCTATTTAGTTAGACGAGGTCAAGGAAGATCGAAAACTAATTGCAATCAATTGAAATTGGTGCATCCCTAGCAATGTTTCAATATTCGTTGCCATTGGTCATTTTCATTAGATAGCCTAATGTATCCATTTTGCTAATAGACTTTATCGAGGATTTTGCTTATTTTTTTTTCGAAAAAATTATATAATGGTTTATTGAGTAATTGTTAGAGATTGCACTTGACATTAAAAGCAATGAACGGAGCATCTACTGTCGCCGGAATATGCAACACAAATTGACAGGAGCTATACGAAATTTTAGTGGATGAAAATTTGTAGATTACTCGCCACAAAATTATTGTGTTTAGCACCTTTGGAGTAATATCGGATGGCGCCCCGTTCTGTCTTTAAGACGTTTTGCTCTTGAGGTCATACACACTTTATTTTTTAATAAAAATGTACTGATCATACTCATAATTGCTATGAGACAGAATGAGTTTCAGAATTTCGGACACAAACATATTAAAACTTATAAACTTTTCATTAAGGCTGAGAAGTTTTCTTTTTCCTAATGTTGTTACTTTTATGCTCGTCGTGAACAAACTTTTAGTCAGTTGAAACAGCAACAGTCTAGAAACTAATCGGAACAAATAATTATGCAGAACCACAACTCATTAAGAATGGCTATTTATGGTAATGGGCGTATTGCCAATGAATTACATCATTTATTCGCAAACAAAAAGCCTGAACAAGTTACTATTTATGATTTATTGGTAACTATTGGATGGATAAAGGCATGACATAGTTTTCTCATCTGTTGTATCGTTTTATAGGAGTTTGACCAGATGCATTATGATGGAATAGCAGCACTGGATGTAGCAGTTGAGAAATGTCAGATAAAAGAACATCAACATATAGTCGATATTGGTAGTGGGTAAGGCATAGACTTTATTCTAGAAACTTTATCAATCGAAATCTTTACCAACAATTAGTTTTCAGTATATTATGCTAAGTAATAAAAAGAATAAACTTTTATGAGGTCGATAAAAAAGATGAGAAATTACTACAAAAATAAAGCATCGTGCTAGATGATCAGCTAGATGGTAATGATTAGTTTATATACTCTAGTGAGAACTGCGTCTCTAATACCTCAGAAGAGACACTATTCAAGTGATAAATGGCTTTTTCAATAAAATCTAGTAGCTTATAGGTTATCGACCATGTTTAACTAAGGTTATAACCATTTTAATAAAATCAAGTTCAGATATAGAAAAGAGTGTTTTGAACGACTTTTTCGGTGTTGTCACGTTCATTTTCTATCTAAAAATAAACCGCTTAATAGCAAGTGATCAAATGCTATTCTTTTTCTTTAAGTCCCTACAAAACTTAAACGGTATTTTTTTTCTCAGAGCGTACTTCTGGAATCAAACACAAAGCGTATATCAGAACGTATTTTCAATTTAGTTCGCGCACCGTACACTTTGAAACAAAGGCGTACGCGTAATGCTAGAAACACTGAAAAAACGGCTAACAGGTATGGATATGCTGTGGATAAGCCAATCATATGGGAGAAAATAGAAAATTGTTTTTAATTATGAAAGTGAAATTATTCAAAAAGATAACCTGAAACACCGACTGATGCAGAGAAATAATAGCTAAGCACATTTTTTCTGCAGTTCAGAGATAGATGGTACGGTTAATAAGTTACCATGGTAACACAAAAAAGTCGTATACGGATAATGTAACTTACGGAATATAGACAGTGTATCATCAATATATATAGAACAAGGTAATGCTCGTCTCCACTCGCTCGGTCCCTTAACTTTATTAAGTTGGATCTGCGCAAGCGAACGCCCTTTGGTGACTTATAAATCGAACACAATGCTCTCGCCTCCCTTCGGTCGGCGCTTAGGTCGGCGCAAAAATCTCAAGAGGTCTAAAACTATTTCTGAGTTCAAAACAATCCTCATGCTTCCCTTCTGTCGGCGTTCGCAACCAGTACGGATGAGAAATGCTATGAACTTCTCTGATTCCACCGGAAAACCATCTAATGTAATATAAAGCTAAAAGGTTTTTTGCACACCCTCTGCAGATCCAAGGAGGTTGGAAGTATTTCTGATCGATTTGTTATAATAGATTATCTATACACTGTCAATTTTATTAAACCTATACCACTTTTTTTGTATTGTCACAGTTGACTGCTATCTGGCGACATTTATCCCCGGCCTATACAGAAAAGGTTTGCTAAGCTCTGCATCGGTAGATATTTCAGATGATCTCTTTGAATATTTTCTCTCTTATGTAAAAAATAATTTTCTACTTTTGTCTCTTGTGATTCGCTTATCCATAGAATATCTAACACCCGTTTTTCCGTATTTTGCGCACAGACAACCAGTGTTTCTAACATTACGCGTACGCTTTGTTCCAAAGCGTACGGTACGCGAACTAAATTGAAAATACGCTTTGTATCAACCAATAGGAAAAGACAGAACAATAAAATCCACGAATTGCCACGCTTATGTACGCGCTGCTTAAAATTCTCATTAGAAACCCTGCAGACAACTATTTCGTAAGATCCTAGACTAAAGTAAAGGGAATATATATGGAATGTATGGAATGGAAAGTTTTTGAATTCATCGAGCTGAATTCGACTGAACTTAAACTTTCAAGAACTTATTCGAGTTTGGAAAAAAGCTTGATTTTGCTTCTATTTTTCTTTCCCGGACATCCTGCAGAGACCATGTTCTTTTTAAATCGCTGGCACTGAATCAAAACGACTTAGTAAAATACGAACGAAAAAGAAATAATTCTATTTACTATTTTCAGACATATAATACGCTTGAAAATACCAATTTATTCTGAAGAAAAAACCCTTTTGGTACTGTAAAATACCGTGGGTGCATATATGCATCGATGCCGGAAAACTCGCATCGATGCGCATCGAGGCTCGGAAAAAAGGTTGTCCGCTTTTAGAGATTATCTGAGATGAGTATGACTTTAAAAAACAACGTTGAAAGTATATTTGAAAAAGTTGAATTTTCGGAAGGAAAAGCATTAAGAATGTCCTGCTTTCACCGCAAATAGGTAAGAAATTGTGCTCTAGCCGAATATCGTATTTTTGCATTCTTTACGAGACGCCTTCTAGACGAATAAGAAGGCACATTACTTACATTACTTTCTCTTCAAATATCAGGCAATATTTCAGACGTTTCAGCACTATTTCTTTAATTTCAGCGCTATGTCAAACATTGTCAAACTACTTCTAAGTTCGTTTCGAAGAAGAGATTTCGTCTTCCATTGTAAATTCATAACACAATTTAAAATTTTCAGTGCAACTTAAGCGGTTCTCAATGATCAAAACGAAAGGGAGACTCAAAAAACATCAAAACTTCGCGCAGCTTTTTCAAAAGTTCTTAAAACCAAAAAGTATCTGTATTGGGAATCTACGAGAATCAGATTCAAGAACGACTTAAGACTATAAATTTTGTCAGAAGTTTGCAAATGCTTCTATTTGGTTAATTCGTGGCTAGAAAGTCACTTGGTGATGAAAATAGGCGTCAAAAATAAGTCTAAAAGAATCTGGATTGAAAACGATAGCAAATAATCAGTAAAGCCTATAAAGGTTTTTGAAAAGCAGAAAAACCAGTACTTAAAATACCGTGCTGGGTATTTTGAAAAAATTATCCGTATCTTACAGAACTAAAAGGGTATTTTAAGAATGAAAATAGCTCGAAATTTTGGGATACCAATCACTCGTAACCTACTAAATCCTTGTGGTATAGAGAAATGAAATACGCTCTAAGGCTATTTTCAAAGGTGAAATACCCTTTTTCAAATGAAAAATCCTTTGGTTCCTTAGAGTACCATTTAGCTGCAGGCAGGATACCACTTTTGCTTTTCTGCATCTCATACAAAATCAAAATCAGTTTCATGGACGGGACGAAGTATCCTTCTGGTTTTTTAAAATACGTTCTTTTTTAGAGAGTACTGGCTACCGTTACCGGCATAGAGTAATGCCGTGGCAGTTTCAATAGCCCGATATTTTCCCCCCGATATCTCACCCATCTCGTTACTAGTCATCAGCTCTGGCCAGAAGGTTAGCCTGACGCAGAATTCAAGATAGGATAGCTACAGTAAAGCCTCTGTATTGTGAACACTATCAAGGCTTTTCAAAAGCGTTCACTGTAAGGAGGTGTTAGCTCTAGAGAGATCATGCATGCTTTGTTGTGAAATAAAGAAAAAGTTTTAGAATATCTGGTTTTTTCATACATCCAATAGTCAGGTCTAGTACATAAAGTGTAGTCAGTTTTAGTAAATAAGAGACAGATGATAGGCAGTAATGAGAGCGAGAGGGAGAGAGAAATATTGTTCGTTTGTTCACATTTGAGAGGTTAGAATAGCGAGAGGGATCACGAAAAACTTGTACATGTTCAGAATAGAGAGGTGTTCACTAATAAAGGTTTTACTGTACAGCGCTGCTCTTAATTTAGACTTCTTGTATACATCGCGGAAGCGACGAAATTCGAAATTTTAGAAGGGAACCTGATGGGGTTTTTTGATTTCTAATTTTGATCTAACACATAGAAGTTTTCCTCTGTAGAACTGTGTCGTTCCATTGACATTGACATGATACATTTAAAATACAGAATAGACTCGATGCTGTTAAGAGTTGCTAAAGTATTTTCCTACACTTCACATTGGTCATTTTAAATTCCAGAAATTTATTTCAGTTTTATTTAGATATGGTGGTCCAAGTCGTTATTTAGCCTGGAAATATAACGTCAATGTGACGGTAAGTCGTTCGAAAATTAAAATTATTATATGATATATTGGTATGCTTCTTTGTCTCTCTTAGGCTATTGAATTACAAGAAGAACATTCTAATCAAGCCAATGAGTTAACTAAATATGTTCAACTTGGGAGTAAAGTTCGTCATTTAAATGCTGATATATCCGCATTAGATACACGAGAATATAATGAGAAATTTCATGTTGCCATTTCATTGCTGGTATTTTTACATATTCCAAATCGTGATCAGTTATTAAAAAATGTCAGCTCAATACTAAAATTATCAATTGGTAAATTATTTATCGAAGACTGGTATTGCAAATATTCATTTTTACCAGAAGAAGTCAAATGTTTATCCGAAAAAATGCTCTGCCCATATCTTCCAACAAAAGATGAATATATTGAGCAATTAATATCAGCTGGTTTTGGAGACATAGAATTTATTGATATGACTGAGTCATGGACAACTATATGCAGTAAACGTAGTGAAGACTTTTATTTAAATCGAGAAATCGAAATTCAGAAACATGGACAATCTGTTTATGAAGACCTATTAAGTTTTTATCAAGGTGTTGATAAATTATTTAAAAATGGACATTTAGGTGGAGCACGAATTGTGGCAACAAAACTTCGTTAGAAATTATTGAAAAACCGTTATCAAAGTCTTATCAGTAAAGAGAAAGAATGAAACTGGCTATTTTGTAACTGACTTCTAACAGAGTAGTAGTAGAGGCCTGTGATTTCTTGAATCACAAGCCAAAATCTAACCGTATCTCTTCATTATGACAGAGCCGCATTAGATTTCCCAAAGTAGGTTTTTGAACGATTAATTTATTGCACGGTTGTATTGCCGTTACGATGTATCCTACTACACGACTGCTCTCTCAAACTTGAGCGGAAACTGTCTCCGGTTAAAATTACAGAATACATGAACATCTTCTTCTTCAAAAATCCAAGATATTACACAAAAACTTGAAAATTTGAACATTCTAAACCTTTTCATAGAGAAGTTACCAGAAATGGGCGAGTCACCGCTTTTTCAAGTCTGAGTTAAGTCCGAGCCAGCAGGCTTCGAGTCTAGGTTTGAGTTCAAGCTGAATCAAAAATTGAATCGAGTCACCTTGAGTCATTTTCTAGCGAAAAATTTCCCCGTGATTCACTTTTCCAAGAACAGCTTGCAGCTCACTTCTACTGTTTTAAGGATTCGCGTTCTGTTGGACACTTGCTACGTGTTATCTTGTCTCTTTTTTTGTAAACTAGATCTAAAGATGGTCATCATATAATTCAATTCACATAGAACACACTGTTTTAGTTAACAAGTTTAAAACACTTTATAACAAATGTTTATTACATTTCAAATACATTAACAAACGTAAGTTTTTCGATTGAAGTCGTCCACAATGAGAACCAAGGGGGAAAAAACAACGCTGCACTATACTACATGGGACTGTCCACTACACTACAAGGGGCTGTCCACTACACCACAGTGGGTATTTTTCTATACACCAGGCGGACATGTGATTTTTTTTTATTCATAAAGAGACTTTTTTGCTCAATACTACTTTATTACATTTCAAATGTTATTATAAATTCAAAAAAACTCGAATTTGAAAAAAAGACTTTTTAGACGAAAAATACCTGAACGGGACCCTTACCCTAAACGCTGGTCGATAAAAGCCTTTTCTTCAAAAATGGTTCTTAGACATTTCAATTGACGCAGTTTTTCGAGTGAAACCCGAATATATATAAATTATTCAAGTTAAGTAACAGATAAGGGTACAAAAGTCCAAATTACCTAAAAAGCAAAAAGTTTTTAGAAAATCTGTAACTGTCGGCAAAAACGTTGTGAGTATACTACAGATACAGGGTATACTAAGGAACATTTTGATGAAAAAACAAGAAAGATTGCACCTCCGCTAACTCGCGCGTTTTGATTATACTGTACACTGTGTACACCTCACTAGGCGCACATACACTTAGGCATGCACTAGTTTTTAACTGGTGTTGAGCCATCCGGGAGAATTGCTATTCGTCAGTCATCACGATTCTCTTAGAGCTGTGAAACATCTCATTTTGTAGAAAAATGTTTGCTCTACAAAATACATTTATTAAAAAAATTTCAGTAAAATCACATAATATTATATTGATCATATAATACAACTAACAGTCCAATAGAAACAACGAGGTAAGTAAAGCGGTAAGTAAGCGAGTGAAATGCATCAATTACATCTTATCTTTTACAGATTTACGCATCCATATTTTACTCGCTTATTGTTTCGGATTTCTTCGGCATATACAAAAATGTCTCATTTCCGTGATATTGAACTAATACAAATAATAATTTATACTATAATAAGATGTGAAAGTAGATCAAGAAAAGATGATAACTCGGACGAGACAGAAAAGAAAAAGACAAACAACAATAGAAGATTTTTTTGTACAAAACTCAATCCTGTGTTGTATTTGAAGATTTTTTCAACTAAAAGATATTTAAATAAAAAGAGATGAACAAGAGAATGAATAGCTCTTATTTCATTCAGGACTACTGTAGAAACAGACATTCTGGAATTTTTTCTTCACTTTGCAGCAAAACATGCGTCACCTCTCTAAAGTGAACACCTTCCATAGTTAACACTTTTTGGACGGTCCCAATGATGTTCACAATAGCGAGGTATTACTGCAGTTCGAAGACAAATAATTGAAGTTAAACAACATCCAAGTCCACTTTCTTATCACATGTCGCGACGCGAGTCTCGGCAGGATCGTATAACGCGGTCGCTATTTTTTTGCGCTCATACGAAAATCAACGACTCCGAAGTCTTTTACTGTAGTTATTATTTATTCGCGTTTTCCATCTAATATCAGTAAATGAGCCACGCTACTTTTACCGCGAACGCAGTCTAATGGCGTACGCTTGACGTTACTACGCAAAACTATATTCGTCATGTCGTAAGCTATTATTAAGATGTGATAAGATTTTGAAAATTTTTTGAAAATCAGTAAGAGTTATATACCAGACGCCTAAGCAAAACAAAAAGGTGAATAGGATCTGCACGGGAGACGCCAGTCGAGCCGTGATCGCTAAGAAGTCGCTTCATAATCGCTAATTACAAATTTTCGAAAAGTGGAATTTCGTCGTGATCACTATAAGAAAAAAGTGTCACGCCGCAATCCGGTATTCCAATTTCTTCCAATCGCGCAGCGACAATAACGACGTTTTAGCGATCGCGGAGCGAGCACCTCTTTTTCGACGTGAATGAAGCAAGAAAGTGGACTTGGAGCATGTACTCAATAAAATTTATTTGTAAAAGCATTGGATAAACAGAGTTTACGTATATCTTTCTGCTCTCATCTTTCTTCCACTGTTTGAAAAACATGGAAGATCAATGTCCGTAGCAACAGTGTAAAAAAAGACTTCAGCTGGAAATTGCTCAAAAGACTTTCCTCTACTCTTTTTCAATTAAGATGAAGTTTCGACTTCGGAGTACTATCCTTCACTTGTTAACAGTATGGAACAGGCATATGTTTGTAATAAAATACATTAACATCTCGATTTTCTCGCTAGAAACATAACCGTTTACCACAGAATCTGAATAAGATCAGAAGTATCCAGCCAGAGATAAGATTCTTTAATTCAATTTTTATATTTTCTCTTTTTAGAATATAATATTTCAAGAAAAGATTGCAAATTCTTATCTCAATAGTTTACAAAATTAACAAATCTTTTTTATTATTTCTGAGTATTTCTCATACATACAGACATAATGCATACTAAACATATGTTAAGAATAAAACACACGATGACAGCAGCGTTTTTTAACTTCATTAAAGTATTTTATTTAGTTTTAAATTATTTTCCACGTTTCGACCTATACAAAGTTCATTTTCAAGAATAAAATCACTATGTACGTAACTTTCCAAGGCGTGGAGTAAATGTTTATCTGCTGCTCTACACTTTTCTGACGAATTTGTTTATAGTTCTTCTTGTTTGATCTTTACAGTTTTGAAGAACTGCAGTAATTAAATTACTGACTTTATTGCACGATGTTTTACCCGTTTCCTTCAGAAGCATGCTGCAAAAAGGTGATGATTCGAAATGTGTTCGCACTAAATTTGAGGCTCATTTAACAAGTTGGTGGCAGAACAGTATTTTTCATTTTTCAGCCATGATTTCCACTAAAATAAATTCTTGTTTGTATATATATATAGATTTTTTGGATTGGAAAGCCTGATTGCATCATGTTCTCCGAGTAAAACATGATGTAACCAGGTTTTAGTAAACAATAATCTTAAACCAGTGGGAAGGGTGGAAGATACGATGAGTACCTCTCCTGAAACACGCGCGTGGATTCTCCGAGGTGTGCGCGCATCTCGAATTAGTTGTTCCCTAGAGAAAATTAGCTAATTATCATGATTAACTTTCATGCTCGGCGCCGTTTCTATACTCCACGCACACTTTTCATAGAAAGCAGTTTTTTATCTGTTTCGTGCCTATTCGATGCGTCGAAGCATGTTTTAGCTCAGTTTTCATATTTGCATATCAAGAAATAGTCTGTTTTTGTTAAATTTTGCTCTATAATCTACGCTGCATATTACGGCATTGGCGCCTAATGGCGCCAATAACAGCGTTGCTACCCAGGTCGAGGACTCACGACCGTACACTACAATATACGTTAAATTACGACGAAATACGTCAGTCGTAAACGTTGACAGATACGACGATATGTAAACGATGAATTACGGTGTAGTTACGTCAGTCGTATACGATCGTTTACGACAAGTCAAATTTTTCAAAAAAAGATCAGACCGTAACAAAGTATACGACCGTCGTAAACTGTAGTAGCCCTGACGTATTTTCATCGTTTACGTTATCGTAGCAGATTTGATCTGAAAATGTATTTTTAAAATGCAGTACAGGACTGAAAAACGGCCGACACTATCAGTGCGCATGCTATCTTGCACCGGTACGCACTAGTTCCATATTTTTCCAGTCACCGTTTTGTCTAGGATTGATTCCACTATGTTTTACTCGGACTTTTCTTCGAGAACATAGTGCAATCAAATTTTAATGCGTTCGTCGAACAGACAATACTTTTGTCTGTTTTATAATCTCTATCTGAAAAGGAAAAATCAGTATGAATTAGAGAGTCAGGTAGTAAATTCGAAGTACGTACACAGTAAATTCAGCTCTCTATTCCCTTATCCAAATAGGTCTCATTTTTACTAGTTTAGTAAAGTACCTTATATAACAGACACTGTTTTTAGTCTCGTTTAAAATGAGAAAAAAACGTTGATATCATCAATGATATACGTGGTGAGAGTGTATATATATACATTTATATCACGTGGATAAGCACGTGGAGCAATCTATCGTTTCTAACATTTTTCTTCAAACGAAGAAACATGCTTCCTTATAAACGTATATATATTTTTTTTTTCTCATTTTAAACGAGACAAAAACCAGTGTCTGTTATATAAGGCTCTGTATTTCTTAAAGTAAACTACTTTTATACTCGAACTTTTTTGCAGTTTATATCTGCTTTTGGAACCTTTTTATAGTAGAACTAAATCAGTAAAATAACCAGACAAAATAATTACAGAGTTAATACAATTTTTCTTCATTCATTTTGGATATCA